CTGTTCTTTTTTTTCTTATAAAAGGCTAAATTAAACAAAAATATTGGTGGTAATTTTTGACTGTGTAACTTTACAAACGGCACCCCACAGATAGACTCCTTTTATTAATTTAAAAAGGCAGTTTTATCACATCAACTTCAAAAAGAATGCTGAAGAGATAAGACGGAAATGGGGGATGGGAGAGGTGTCCAGACATTGGCAGAGCAAGATGAGTGGTGAGGATGGAAGTGTAAAGTTATGAAAGGATCAAATGATCTAAACAGCTAGCTTCCCTGAATTATCTGCCACATTTGTCTTTTCCTCACAGCTCACAAACTCATACAGCTGGTCTAACTCTGACAGGACAATGAGCTGTTCTTTAAATGACCCAAAGCAGTTTTAGAGGGAAAAAAAAGGAAAATTCCAGTAAATTCCAGTTCAAAGCTGGGTTAAAAGAGCAGGAAAGTTTTCCTATGGATTTTCATATAAGTGTGTTCTTACCGTTGGACACCAGCTTGATTTCCCTGCTAACGGCAGCCATTTCATTCCTGGCAAGGCAACGTACCGCCAGCGTGCTTTTCAGATGACCAAACATGACCTGGCTCTCCAGGTTGCTCTCGTCATCAAAGTGCGACTCCGTGGTGATCTCTGTGGAGTTGATCGGAAGGGGCAGCCAGGAAGACGAATCATTGGCACAGCTGGATGAGAACGAAAAAGAATGGAATCAAGTCAGATCAGTTAAAGAGAACTGTTTGAGAGATTTAAAAAATGGATCTTACTGTTTGATGTTACTGCAGATAAACCACTCCACCACAGGAGTGGGCTGCCCCCTGGTGATGCACACCACAGACTGGCCTGAGGTTGAACCGTGGTGAAGATCCATTAAATCTACAATGACTGCAGGCTCTGCAAAATCAGGGGGCAGAGGAGGTGTTAGCTTAGCAGTGCACACAAAACATGAAATATTGAGAGACTGTATTTCTGACAAAAATGTTAGCATTGAAACTCAAAGGAATAAATGTCCTGATGCATCTCAGTAATCCAGGTAGAAAAAAATCAAAAAGAAAAAAATAAGTAGGTTCTCTGGATGGTTCTTCTTTAGTGAAACGTTTCATCTCTCATCCAAGAGACTTCTTCAGTCTGATGAGTTTCAGGTGAACTCAGCCTTAAAAACACTGTCTCCACATGGACAATCAGGTTAGTCACATGCAAAAGAGGGCCATCGCTTAACAATAGGCTTGATTAGCTCTATTGTTCATAGAGGGTCATGTGAGGGTCATGACTTATTAGTTAGAATGCTGTGGTTCTTAGGTGTCGTGTCATGTGTATGTAGTGAATGCAGGTGGAGCTCAAAGTCCCCTTGTTTTAGTTTTTTCCCTCTTTGTGTTGATTGTCGTTGGGGCCCTGATTCTATACGTGGCGGGAGTTTCAGAGAAACTGAGACATTTGTTTTCTCTAAACATGACGTCCCAGTGGCTTTCAAACCCGAAACACGTTGCGACAAAGATTAGTTCACCCCAATGATCCAGTACCCRGGCAAAAACAGAGTAATATAGTGTATGCTGTTAAGTGTCAGGAGGACTGTGATCAGTCATACATTGGGGAAACAAAACAGCCACTGTTCAAAAGACTGAGCCAGCACAGACGAGCTACTTTGTCGGGTCAGGACTCTGCAGTTTACACTCATCTACAGGCCAGGACTCT